ACCCCCCCCCCCCCCCCCCCCAGGGCAAATTTGTTACATCTATACATTGTAGGAGGAAAGTAACGGAAGTACGGAAGGAAAAGCAGGAACTGGACACGTTCCATCACAGCTAACCCTTTCCTTTGGTTTGTGAATGAGGTATGGTTGCTAACCTTCTAATGTCAATTCTGGTCAAACTGACACGGGCGTCTTCCATTGTCGCAAACCAACAACCCGGTACACCTTGATAAAAATCAAATAGGATGGGACCTCAGAAACGCCCTCTAAGACACACGATCTTTTACCCGAACGAAAGAGAAACGCAACCGGGATACGATCGACCCTGGTCAACTAGGGACAACAAATATGAAGTACACTTTTTGTCTTGTTCTTGCGAAGAATACAACTCCATCTCTTCCACAAAGAGTCGGTGGGAAGATACGCAATGGATGGGCTCGCTTTTGTTTTTTTTCGAAAGTAATGTATTGGCGTACATTCCGTTCTGGAGACGGTGCGTTGTAACCCTTGACGCGTTGGCTGGGGTCACACATGGAGGGACGGCGCACAGAATATATTCTCCGCCTTCCTTCCGGCGTGCTTCCTCTGTTCCCTTGGTTGTTTTTGTGGAGAAGGATTCAGCCCTTTTTTCCCTCGTCGACCGTTTTGTCTGTATTTGTCTAATCTTTTTTTCCCGTGCGAACGGGGTTTTCGCTTTCCCGACGTCGCTTTGGTTTTTGACCACGAGAAAATCCGAGGTCGTGTGATTGCATCCAGGCCAGATTCGAACCGACGCCCCAACGTCAGGTTGCGAGAATATCAACTGCCGCCGCCGCTGTTGCTGTTGTGTGGCGTTCCAAAAATTATCAAGAACGGGTTGGATATACCTGTACGCCTTAGCGCCGGCGGGTTGTGTTCTTGTTCGTGGATGTACATGCATGTACATCCACGAACGGTTTATTCGGGCCAAAGCGAGAGACTACAGCAGCAGCAACTACCAACTCTCTTGTGCCTCTCAGAGCCGTTTCTTGGGGCTACAGAACGCGCCTGAACCTATACTCTGGAACTTCAAGCTCAAGCAAAGAGAGGGATTGAAGAACCTTGAAATACTACTGTATAGACCAGACTTCGTGATGGAGAACAATCTTGCTAAAACCTACAAACGCCAGCAGTTGATGTGGCCGCTATTGCCCGACAACAAGACGAAATGATATTAGATGGCCCGGACGTTTGATTAATAGGAGGAGTTGTCGGGCGTTCAGCATGCAGGGAGAAATAAAGAGTATGCGCTAATCTCAGGTGTCAACGAGGAGGGTGGGAGCGCCATGGTCTCATCTATTTTGGCGCCGGCTTGCAGGCCTTTGCCTCTGCAATTTCGATGTACACAGCCGTGCAATACGTACGGCAGTAGTACCTAGCTCCTTCACACAACCGCCAAATCAGAAGCACTTACAACAGAAGGCACTACAGTCTAATACACAGTTTCGGACTGGGGCTCCAAATTTTCCGGTTAAAGGAAGCAGATTTTGACATGAGAAAGGTTCCTAGAAACTTCGTGCAGGTGAGAATTTTCAGATTTAAGCGGCTTCATGTGATTGGCTGTGGGTCAACAGTCCTCAAGACACTGCGCGAGTGCCATATGCCCATCGCCGTCGAGGATTCTTCCCCTTTTACCACAGGCACTGGTAGGGGAAAGGGGCTATACGAGATAGATTTGGTAATCCCCCCAGGATTACACGCAGGAGAGAAGGAAGAGGAACTCTGCACCAAGTCCATTCTCATAGACGTAACAATCGTCAACCCATCCGCAGGTCGAAGCATCGACAAGTCGATCCTTAAGCCAGGATCCGCCCTCGAAGATCGAGCTGCAAGTAAGGCAAATCACTATGCGGGAACTTTCAACCCGTCTAGATCTACCCTCCTTACTGCTGCTTTTTCAACGAATGGTAGTCTTGGCAAAGGCACCAATCGACTCATCGTTGCTATCGCCAACCACTTGGCGCACGAAGCTTTTTGCCGGGGAAATTTTGAAGACGAGAGGGCCTTAGTTCGCCTGAAAGCTTTTCATACTAACAGGATTCAGAGACGGTTTACCTTCCAGCTAGCTCGTTTTCTGTCGATGCGAACTCGCGATGTGTTCAAACGTCATGGGCTACTGATCGACCAACTTCCACCAGGGCCAATCGGTTGGGATCTCTGCGACAACGATAGTAGTGAGAGTAATTCTTTTGGGAGTGACGAAGACGAAGGAAAGGGAAAGGGGAGAAAGGAGGATGACGACGATGGAGCAGAAAAACATGGAGGAGTGGAAGAGAGCAAAGGGTTTGAGCCAGATGACCTTCCCCACAACAAGAAACGTAGGGCTAGGGAAGAACTGCCCAGAGATTCTTCTTGTCGAAATGAGGATCAGAATGATGGTAGCGAAAACAAGGAGGACACTGGTGAAAGTACTCCTAAACGAACTCGAGTACTAGGTAATAGCCTTGGTAGACGCGTGCATTTTTCGTCTGTTGCTGCTGTTTCTGTTTTTAATCCGAAGGATAGTTTAGCCTCCCCCATGCTGCCCCCTCACGGGGTCCCAGTTCATGGTAGATAGAAGTGTTTTGTGTTTTCAACCGCACTAAGACTGACGTCTTTTCATTGGTCAGCCGGTTAGCGCGGTCGATGCTAATAATAAAAACACACACACACACACACACACACACAAAAACACACACACACGTGACAGCTAGCTGTGCACCTTGCTTGATGACAAGGGGCGCTAACTGCTGCTGCTGTTGAGTGTGCGTCAGCGGAAGTGATAACTGTACACTGGCGGACGACAGCCTCTAAACGAAGTGCTATGTCGCGTTTCAAAAGTGTTCGAGAGAGAGATGGGGGGTTTGGGACCGGGAGGCACATTCGAGTCAAACGGTCTTCTTTCTAGTAGACACCAGAGAAAATACTCTTGCGCGCGGAAGGACGCGCCCGCCTCCTCCAGGAGGCCACGACGTGCTCTTCCTCCTCTCTGCTCTTCTTTGCTGGCGGCGTTGCCACCACNAAACACACACACACGTGACAGCTAGCTGTGCACCTTGCTTGATGACAAGGGGCGCTAACTGCTGCTGCTGTTGAGTGTGCGTCAGCGGAAGTGATAACTGTACACTGGCGGACGACAGCCTCTAAACGAAGTGCTATGTCGCGTTTCAAAAGTGTTCGAGAGAGAGATGGGGGGTTTGGGACCGGGAGGCACATTCGAGTCAAACGGTCTTCTTTCTAGTAGACACCAGAGAAAATACTCTTGCGCGCGGAAGGACGCGCCCGCCTCCTCCAGGAGGCCACGACGTGCTCTTCCTCCTCTCTGCTCTTCTTTGCTGGCGGCGTTGCCACCACCTCTACATTCGCGCGCTTTTCCTCTCCCTTGCCTCAATCTTACGGGCGTGTCGCTGACCTCAAGTCAGCCGAAAACAATCTGTAATTTTTTTCCTTGTTGTGGGTTCTGGCGAGACTGTCAGGAGCGATCCTCAGAACGACGGCTTAACTCAAAATATATTTCCTTGTTTCGGATTTTTTTTTAATCCGAAACTGTCAAATATCTAACATAAGTACTGTAAGATTCTTTTGTTTTCTTGTATGTTATCGCTCTGCTAACCCTTGGGGTCCATTTTATTTTGGTATACCTTTTCTAGGTACGTTAGCCTGTGACCACGGAAATTGACCGAGTCAAGTGCTGGATTATCACGGAGAGATTGAGACAGAAGGAGGTACTGGATAGAAAGACCGGGATGGTTTTTAACAACAACTGTAATATCTGCCATTTCTAATCAAAATATTTTATCCAATCCTTGCACATGTTATGTTTGGAAACGTTCCAACGCTGACGATACATTTGAACTCGATTGGAGTGGAGAAGAACAAAGCTATATAGGTCATAAGCCTAATATTCCTGGCCACACGGTCAGTGAGCCCGAAGGGAAAACGTTCCGCTGTTGTTGTGCACTGAGATGCAGCCATCCCGCCTCTGGCGATGATACTACGGAAGTAAATGGAAATGGGAAAAGGATCCGCAGGGCGCATGAACGCCACGATATATAGCCTAATCCAAAGCAGTACGTGTGTCAGAAAATCTACTACATGCAACGGAACGCCGAAACCATGTGGGTGCGCCATGCGCCATGGAACCTTCGCTCTGCACACCCGTCTGCGCTGGCATGAGACCCGCAACGCGATCACTTCTGCCGCTGCTGCTGCTGCTGCTGCATGTGTTCTGTGTTGGGTATTGCGCCCTTTATTTACTGCTGTTCCACGGGATGGTTTTTAATGTGAAGACAACAACAGATAAT